TAGAATGACTGATGAATAAAAATAATTTACTTATGCTCATAAATGTAAGTAACTGATAATAATTGTTATTAAATTGTATAAACCGTCTGATCCATACAGTTCGTTACTACTGAGGTTTACCAAATATAAATCGTTACTACTGATGAATCCTCCTGATTCTCACGTTTAATTATATAACGTATAAACGACGTGATTTCATAAAGTGATTTATTTTTCATTCGATTGTTTGTAAATAAATTACTTTATGTATCATAATCACTAAATAATTCCACACCGTGCGTAGGAATAATTTTCTGTCGATGCAAACAAATCGACGTCACATGTGTTGAACAATGAATATTCGTTTTGTCAAAACCTTTTGTTTACTCGTAAAAAATAATTAAACAATATATAATTGTTGCAGTTGTTCTGGAATTTGGTTTCCTTTCATGGAATTTTGTGAAACAACTATAACTAAATGAGATTAACATCCAGCATGGAGAATAGATCATCGATTGGTTACTTGCGCCGTGTGTTAATTAATATCCAAGTAATCAATGTCGTTATCTGTGCTGTAGACTGCGAATAAATACATAGGCGCCGATCTATATGATATTTCCTGTGTGTATAAAAATAATTATTCATAGATTACAACAGATTATATTGCGGATGTTGGTTTAGTTGTATTTCATTCGTAAATTAATTCTCTTAAATATAAATATTTATTGGACAAGAGAGATATTGCAAATAAGCCGATAAAATTATTTCAAAATTGGTAACGACGTTTGCTGAAGTTCATGGTAACGCTTCAGTGTATAGAATATTTGCATAAATGATGACGTCTTGTAATATCTAATTATTTATACATAACACGCACCATTTATTACAGTTGCGTTCATTTTTTATGACGATTAAAACATTTAACAATTGTGTTGTCACAGCCTGTTTCACCTTCGAAACGTTTATGAAGGAAAAGGCAATAGAAAATTTTTATCGATGCAATTACGCAATTATGCCTGCAATTATTGCGATACGTAGTTTTTTACTTTTTTGCGGAAACGTAGTATCGCGTGGCACTCGTGAACATGTCACATGCAAAACTTTATTTGGTGACTTTCGTAGGTAAAGAAAACTCTGTAAATTGCGTTATCTGTTTTATAGATAATAATTGTTGAATGACCAACTGATAAATTATAATTATATACATATATATATATATATAAAATTGATAATTGTTGCGTTAAGACAGTGTGCTTGGCCGAATTGAACGCGGGTCTGTTTTCGAAATGGATGCCTGCATTGTCGGTCGACGACTTCCCGTTTGAAATCACTGGCAACGAAGCTTTCTGGATAGTGTCTTTATTAAAACTCGGTACAGCCATCGGATGCTTCCTTTCCATATTCATCGTCGATGTTCTAGGGAGAAAGGTCTCGATATTATTCACGGTCTTCCCGACATGCCTGAGTTGGTTACTGATAGCATGGAACCCATCGAGTCTGGTAAATACGGAAAACTATCAGAATATTTATTTATCAAGCAATCATTCCCCGAAATTTTGTAATGTATTTTGTAACGAACCTCCGACATTCGCAGGTTAAACTGAACTTAAACGTGATTTCTCCATATTTCCAGGACATGTACGTGGGCCATTTCGTAGGCGGGATCGCCAGTGGCATAATTTTCACGAGCGGTTTGACGTTCGTCACAGAGATCTCCCCTGCGCACATTCGCGGTGCATTGTGCAGTTGCTTCGTATTAATGGATTATTGCGGTGATCTTCTGGGTTGCGTAATCGGCTCGTTTGCCACCGTGCACACATACTCATACGTGGCTATGTCGTTGGCAATGCTGCAATTCGTGGTGTTCGTCTGGTCCCCTGAAACTCCTTATTACTTGCTACGTCAGAAACGATTAGCCGCTGCTATGGATTCCTTGATACTGTTGCGTGGCACAGGTGATGTTGCCGAGGAAATGGATTCGATTATGAAAGCAGTGGAATTCGATCCGCGAAGCAGCGGGATATTGTCTTCCCTCTTGCACTTAATTTCCGAGCCAGGTAAGTAAAATATTTGGTCAAATCTCAAACATCCGTAATTCAAGAGCTATTCGACTCTTTCATTTTCGAATTTCATGGATCTATGATGATGTATTGTATAAATATTCGACTTTCTTTCAGGGGGGAAAACCGCGATCTTGATCGGCGTGGCTGTGATGCTGGTGCAAGCGCTCTCAGGCCCGATTGTTATTATCGGTTATGCTCGAACAGTCTTCGAGAAGATGCACGACGTTCAATTACACGCGGCCTATATCGACTTCGTTTTAGCAACGGTGTATCTGATCTCTTATCTCGTGTGTATTAGCTTAGTGGATCGTTTAGGCAGAAGACCTCTAATGATCATGTCCGCCGTAGGCGTTTCCACTTGCAGCTTCTTTCTGGCCGTCTACTCGTGCTTGCAAGAGAATGCTATAGATACCACGAGTCTTCAGGCGTTGTTCTTTGTAACAGTATTGCTTTACACCATTAGCGTCTCTTTAGGATTGGCCAGCGTGCCTTTCGTTGTCACGAACGAGATATTTCCTATGTACGCAAGAGCAACGTGCGCCAGCTTCTGTTTTTCTACAAATTTCACATGGTCGTTTATTGTGTTGCATGTCTGGCGTTGGATCGTGTCCCAGTACAACGTATATTCGCTTGCCTTCTGGTTTATTTCCGGATTGAACGCATTCAGCACCCCCTTCCTGGCGTTTTACTTCCCAGAGACGAAGAGAAAATCGCTGTTGCAGGTCAGGAAGTATTTCATCGAGGGGATGAAAAAGTGATCGACTTTGGTCGAAGTGCGTGACGAATCGAGAAGCTTGGAAACTTACGATTAACAATAATAAAAGGAGATATCGTTACTGGAGAAACAAGATTAAAAAAAAAAAAAACCACATGAATTATTTATTGAAAATGTTAGAACAGCCTTTTAAAAGTCCCTTATCCGGGATCTATATACAACAGGTACGGCAACACACATTGTAATTTACAGTAATATGTACATTTGAGAGTACGGACAGTCTGCAAATCGACAAATATCGCGATCGACATTTGGCTAGAAAACATGCTTTATTTCATCATAGTGGGCGAGTTTCGAGAGTACCGCCGTCATTAGAAACCAAGGAACAAGCGTGTTTTAACGAGCGTGTATTCGAACCGGTACGAAATAAACAATTTTGCAAAAGTTTCTTTCTAAAAAAAGGAAGAAAACTAGAGGGCGTTCTCCTTTGGCCGGAAAATACAAATCTCTCCAAAGACGTGTAATACAAAAATACTCAGATTGATCAGATTGGTCGTACAATTTCACTCGCGCGTAGAATATTTTGTTGTATAATCTTTCGCAGATGACAACAAAGATGTTGAAGAACTGTATGGGGAGTCCGTCGATATTCGATTGGAAGATCAATGTTCGTTATCGCGGTGGCAAAACTGTCACTGAATCGACAAATCGTCAATATTGATCGTACAATCGTACAAATATTTGCCCTTTACGTTCGAGCCGATCGTCTTCGATCCTGCATTTGCATTCACGATTCCCGCTGACAATAGAACTGATAAATGTATCTGAAGTGTACTGCGTTGCGAGAAGTGAAGGCGATCATTTACAAAGATAGATGTTTCTTCTATGATAATTTCAATCGACTTCCCCAACGATAGTGTGACAGTCTCTGATGAAGTGTATGGTAAAAAAGGATCACATGTCAATGCGAAAGTGACAGAGCAAAGGTAACGATCGATCGAGACAGCACTCGCAACGAATCAACGTTCGATCGGTCGGTTTTTTATTTCACACGACCGACTCGAGAATAAATTATTCATCGGCGACGTGTGCAACCATTCGCAAGCCGAATAAATTTTCTCCAAGAGCAAAGAGAATCGGCGATAGAAATGGCAAGAGGAAGATTCTCTGTCATTATCGTCTGTTTCACCTGCCGATCGTATAAATAGACTCTGAGCTTCAGGTGTCTTGGTTACAGCTATTTTTCCGAGACAGAAGAATCTGATCGATCGTGGCCTCCTCGAGCTTCAACGAGGACGACGGTGTCGCCTGTTCGTTCTTTGCTTCCATTTTAGCTACTGACACCGTGAGTGGAACATCTGAAACATACACACGTAGACATGCCATGCACAGTGAGAATGCGACGTCTCGAGGAAGGCAGATCAGTGTTGCTAAATGGTAATAGCGACATGGAGTGAAATCACAGAAATGCACGCATTTGCATGCAGGCGAATCTACGTTCAATGGACGCATTTTCCATTTGAACGTTGTCCAGGTAAATGATAAATAATTTGCTCGTACAAACGCTGTAATTCACTGTTCGCAAATAACAATTTTCAAACAAAGGATTTTGTGTCCCAGCAGCGTAACTGCAGAAATAACCACGATCGATTTTTGAGGTCGTCTAGTGCTGGAAACTCGATCAACGATAAGATAGAACTGCCCGATTAATACTCGACAATCCGACAAATTGGAAATTTACCAAGCTCGTTTAATTCGAAAATAGTCGAAGCTTGTTTCAGCCGTCCTCGCAAACATGTAACACAACATCTTTTTAAAATTCTTCGAGATTTTCGCCTAAAAAAAAATTTTTAATGCAAAAATTGGCAATTCCGATCGAATTTCTCACATTCGTTTGAATGTACAAATCGTCCTTGAATCTTACACGATCCAAATTTTTGAGGAAAAATGAACCAAAAGCCAGCCTGCCTCTTGAGCCTTATATAATATATGCGTAGAATCGAGTACAGGCAATGTGAATACGCTCGTACACTTACCGGATTTCCTCTTCTGGCTGTCGGAGGCCGTGTCAGGGAATTGGACGTGTTTCCTGGACGGTCGTGCTGCGACAGGACTTTTCTCCGAGGAGAGGGTGTTCTGGCCGGCAGTAGGGCTCTGCGTCGGCGTTGCGGTCGTTTTGGTTTCGTTGTTTGTCGCTGTCCTTCGGGAGCTTAGACAAGACGTGGCTGTCGTCGTCGGTGGCTGAACGGCATATCTCACTGCTGGAACCTTCAAAGGCCACTTCATAAGATCCATTTTTATACTCGAATTTCAACGCGATCGATCTCTTCCTTTTTCGGAATTCTTT